TTGGGACTACTTAAGAATACAAGGTGAGTTTTTTTTTTGGATATTTTAAGTTAATAACATCCTATTAACACTAGTATTAACATCATTCAATCTTTGAAATCCCTAGAAATCTTCCAAGTTATTCAAGAACACCAAATTTTCCAAACATTGGATTTTTAAGGAAAAGCTTCAAGAAGGTAGTTCTAATGCTTCAAGCTCATTTCTTATGAGTCGGTGAGAGTAATTCTAATATTTGTTTTAAATTGTTATGGTCGGATAATTGATTTCATAATCCCTAGTTCATAGCATGAATAATGTTCTTGAGAAAATGAGGGAAAGATAAATAGTGCTCTTAGAAATGAAATTAAAGGATGCAATGAACCAATGGAATCATTTTCTAGCTTAGTTGGAAGTGTTCAACTAAGTAATCACCAAATTGAATGTTTTGAAAATGTTGGTTAAAGAAAACGATGAATAGTAATTTGGCGGTGTTGGAGAATTAATGTAGTATCATTGATGACTTCAAATGGGTATTAAATGATAAGAGTAGAGTTGAATGTGCTAGTGAGTGAACCTATTAGACGATTTGAGCCAAAGGCTTGTAGCCAACTTATGAGCCATAGATGGATATTGATAAATATTTAATATTTTTGAGTCATATTTTGATTGTAATTGGGATTGTAATTGTAGATATCAATTTGTTGGTGGCGTATGAGCATTTTACTCAATGTTACGATATCGGAGGAGGATTAAAAGCTTGTGAATGTTAATAAAGCAAAAGTGAGTTTTGGAGCGTTGGGCATCGGTCGAGTTGTTTGAAAGGCTTGGGAGCTGGTTATGGAACTTCGAAGCGAGGTAAGTCTCCTTTCTAACCTTGTAAGAGGGAATTGTCTCCATAGGTGAAATAATTTGTTATGTGCTTCTATTTGTGGGGGCTACGTACGCACGAGGTGACAAGAGTCTGTGCATAGCTACTATTGTGCTTAAGTCCGGGTAGTCTAGGACGCAAAAGCATGTTATACCTGAACTATTTGTAATCTTATAGATAACTTAAATTGCTTAAATCATATCGAATTAGTAAAAGAATTTCTAAAAAAAGAAGGATTAAACCTCATTTTCTTAAATCGTTAAAAGAGAATTGGCTTTTGCTTGGATAAATGTTTCCTGATTAATTATAAATTGATTGTTTGAAAGTGTGTATCTATAAGTACCTTCGTCGCATGTATGATTCGCGAGCGGGGTAACTCTATTATTTATATTTGACTGCGTCACACGTATGATTCGTGAGCGGGGTAATAGATATATCTATGGTTCGCGTCGTTCGACCCTCGGCAGTGCACATTTTATATTTATGTTGGATCGGGTCGTACGACCTCGGCATGATTTGCGCATGCTTGTAATTCTTGCTTGAGATTTACAAGAATTGATATTGCCTCTCTGGTCTGACATATATTGATAAATAATGGAATATGAATTTGGAGACTTTCTAATATAAAAAGGAGTGTTTACTTGTTTTCTTGATTTATTTGAGTTTATTGCCATTTCTAATAAATCCATGATTATTTACATTATTAATACATTATTATTGGACCACTAGTAAGTGTCGAAGTTGACCTCTCGTCACTACTTCTTCGAGGTTAGACGGGATACTTACTGGGTACACGTTGTTTTTGTACTCATACTACACTTGTTGTGCATTTTTGTTGCACATGCACATGTATGTCTAGTGGCCTAGTTGAGCGTAGCGGCATGGTTGATACGGAGACTTAGGTGAGCTGCACCTCTCGAGACGACATGCAGCCAGCAGAGTCTCCTTCAGAGTACTGTACTGTATTTTCTTCTCTGTACAATTTGTATTCCGGACAATCATTGTTTTACATTATTTCTTAGAAACTGCTCATGCACTTGTGACACCGGGTTCTGGGATGATTATGGTTACTCAGTATCGAAATTATTAAAAACATTATTATTTATTCTGTAAAGTCCATCTTTTACTCTTAAATTCAAGAAAAATCATGATTTCAAAATTTTCAAAACGAGAATTTAATTAAGTATTGATGGTTGGCTTTCCTGACAGCGGTGTCCGGCACCATCACGACCCTTAGTGAATTTTGGGTCGTGACATTTTCCTTATATTTAAGAATAGTCATTTAATTATTCTCCTAATATTTAGAATTTTAATTTTTCTAACTCCTTCCAATTCTAGAATATAGATTCTAATATTTTGAATCTAACGCTTATTATGATATGATTTAGTTATAAGCAAAATGAAATAGAAGAATTATGCTTAACTTACGTCTCCAATTTGTAAGTAAAGAAAGTATCCTCTTTTTTTAGGAGTTAAAAGTAGTTTGGTAATTAAATATTTTTTGATTATTTGATTTAGTAAGAGATCCTAATATTAATAAATTTAAATTATAAATCTCTTGCTTAGTATTTAAAACATTAAAATTAACTAATATTTTAAGGACACGCCTTTGATTTTATTATTGTTTGTTAAATAATTTATAGCCGCTATATTACAAGCATGGAGACTCTTAGCGAAATGTCGTTCACTTTTTTTACCCCTTTAAAATAAAGTTTTCACTAGACAAAATAGTCATTTGATTATTTTTCTAATATATAGGAATAGTCATTTAATTATTTTTCTTATATTTAAGAATAATCATTTAATTATTCTCCTAATATTTAGAACTTTAATTTTTCTAACTCCTTCTAATTCTAGAATATAGATTCTAATATTTAGAATCTAACGCTTATTATGATTTAGTTATAAGCAAATTGAAATAGATGAATTATGCTTAACTTACGTCTCCAATTTGTAAGTAAAGAAAGTATCCTCTTTTATTTAGGAGTTAAAAGTATTTTGGCAATTAAATAATATTTAATTATTTGATTTAGTAAGAGCTCCTAATATTAAGAAATTTAAATTATAAATCTCTTGCTTAGTATTTAAAACATTAAATTTAACTAATATTTTAAGGACACACCTTTGATTTTATTATTGTTTGTTAAATAATTTATAGCCGATCATAACTTTAAAACCAATTAATTCAATATAATTAAATTATCTTAGTAAAAGTAAAAGTAAAATAAATATATCTTCTACAAAATTTATGTAGCAAAATATAAAAACACATTCTTAAATACTAAATTATCATTCACTATTATGATATTCTTTAACTCAACATCAAATGTTAGAAATACTTCAAAATGATATTTAACAATTGCACGTTAGATATATACAGTTTAATAATGTTATTATAATTTTTAAAATTTATTATTTTTGATATGGGGTACACGCGCAAAGAGCGTACTCTAAAATTAGTATAAACAATATAGGGATACAAGTTGATTTCTTTCCCTCTTCCAAAATAAATTGTGATACGAAAATCAGCACGTTAGGGAACCATATTTCAAGAGAGGATCAATAGAAAACTTTAGGGAGATTATTGTGTGGGAGCAAACTAAAGGAAGAGTTATATTTAAAGCAACTCGTATTTTAGTAATCGTGATTTAAAATAATTTTTCCTCATGGCTCGTGCTGAGGGTTCACGTGAAAACTGTATTGGTCAAAATTTGGCGACTCAGTAATTGCAGATAAGTCGTGTCAAGGACGGGGTCGACCACAACATTATGACGATGGGGCCGTTCTCATAGGGATTGCTGCCGAGGACGAGCATCCGGAGTTACAATTGTAACGGTAGTATAGACTTAGGAAAGGGCACCATGAATATTCCCTTGGATATTCCTTATATTGCACTTTTTAGAGTTTCTTGGGGATATTCCTTATAAATAATAAGAGGTAGGGAACAAAAAGGATCTTCACTTTCTGAGAAAAAGACATTGTAAAAGGTTGACTCAAGAGAATATACGAAAAGTTGTCTTGTTCATTGATTATATTATCCAGGTGCATATTACTCGATCTTGATCCACAAGATCCAAAGATTCCATAACCATCTTTACTTCTCTTATTTCTACGTTGTTGTCAGGAGAAGGAACCATCCAACTCATTCAATAATTGGGTAGTAGATTTCTTCTTATTACATTTATTGTCATCTTCTACATTTATTACATATTTATGTTATCACATTATTAGCTTTCATAGAACATAAACGTGCTCTTTAACGTTATCAAACGTCGTTCACTACATTAATTCCTCAACACATTTGATCTAGAAATTATTATTCTTAACTAAGATTCACCACATATCTCATCATTAATTAGTTTAACTAAAAGGTTCAACACTTTTCTGGTCAAACAAAAATAACCTCTTTACATTCACTGTAGCGATAAGGTTTGCGTACTATTTATCCTCCCCAGACTCCACGTATGGGATTATCAGGGGGCGGCTCAAGTACATAAGTGGCATAAATCCAAAGTTTAATATGAGGCCTATTTTTTGTAAAAAATATTATAACATATTTTTATTTAAAGTTTATTCTTCTTGCTTTTTGAGATGTAAAATTGTTAATAATTTTTTTGTTATCGTTTTCTTCTAACAATTCCTTTGCAATTGATAATTTCGCCAATACATTATTGGTCTTAGGTAATACTATAAGCATTTAGAAAATAATCAAGTCTTTTTATTTGATTGAGTATATCGATTAGAGAATATTATCTTATGTTAACAGTTTTAATTCAAAAAAAACGTCAACTCAAATTCATATGTTTGGAAAACTATTCAGCATGACTATTTATAAGTATGTCAAATGATTACATATCTAAAAAAGGTTCTTTGTTTCAGAATGAAAAGTCTACTTTTGTATTAAAAGTAATAAATATTATGCGAAATATACCCGTGAACTATGTAAAATAGGACAAATATGCCCGTCGTTATTAGTTTGGCCCAAATATGTCCAAACCGTTCAATAATTGTGCATCCATGCCCTTATTAGACAGAACCAATATTTTTTTTAGTTATCTAATACCAAACCCAACCTGAATCTACCGACCCGACCCGACCCATCCCTAATTCTAAAAGACCCAAACTTAATCCCCTATATTGTATTGCCCCAGCCCTAAAACAAACGTTACCCACCCCTTTCCCTCTTCCTTCTGTCATCTTCTTCCTTCTGTCTTCTTCTTCCTAAACAGGCCATTTCCATCTTGTTTTTTCAGGAACAACAGGCCGTCACCCCTTTAATTTTTCAGGAACAACAGGCCGTTTCCATCTTGTTTGCTCCACTCACTTTCCTCTCTTACTTCTTTCATTTGCTTTGAAATGTCAGAATGTTCGAGTTTTTCACATAGTCGTCGAAGGATGTGTGGATGTGGAGTTGCTTCACTCTATCTCACATCGCGGTCTGAAATATATCCCGGAAGATGCTTTTTCAAGTGTCATAAACCTGATGTAAGTTTTCTGTTTTTTTACCTAATTAGTGCTTATTCCGAGAGATTTGGATCAATGATTTTGGCATATTTGTAATCGATTTTTTTTATGATGTTATGTTTTATTGTAGAAAACTGGATGTGGTTATTGGGAATGGGAAGACGATGAATTTCCACCAAGAGCTATTATTTTCATTAACAAATTGAAAAGGGAAAAGGATGCTCTTCTTAAAGAAAGACTTGGAAACATGGTGCTTGGAAACAGGGTGGAAAAATTATTTCTTATGTTTTTGGGTTTCATTATTGGATTTGTGGTTAGTTTTATGTTTTGAGGGAAGACTTGAAAATATGATTGTAATTGTTTATGGTTGTAATTGCTTATGGTTGTTTTAGTTGTATAATTTAGATGTATTGTATTGTAATGGTTGGATGAAAATGGTTGTACTATGCATTGTATTATTTCTGATGTAATGGTTGAAACTATGATTGTAATTTAAATGCATTGTAATGCTATGGTTGTAATTTCTCAGCAACATTGTGTGAACTTTCTGGTATTGTGTAATTTCTCATCAACATTGTGTTCACTTCATGTGTTGTGTAATTTCTCAACTATTTCGAATAGTTCACTTTATGTAATTCTGGTGTTGTGTAATTTCTCAACTTTCTAGAAACTCAAGCAGCATAGTTCACTTCAGCAGCATTGTGTTCACTTCGATTCTGTTTTGATTTATATATGAATTAATAACTAGTAATGTGTGCAAGAAAAATTATGCTAACATTCTACCCTCCTTATACCCCACTTGTCGGATTATAATGGGTAGTTATTGTTGATGTTTAGAGTGAAACTATAAAGCATTTACATTAAAATTAGAAGTGATTTACAACATTTAGCTGAGTTTGTTATATAAAGTAGACAACATTAGCAAGTATGTAGAGCTGGTGAGAATTTCCATACATTCACTTGAATGTTGTAAATTTGATCAACCTATTAATCCAATGGCGTTAGAGCGAGCTAAACAAGGTTTGAATTCCTGTGATCTTTCAACAGAAAATGTAAGGAAATGATGACCAAATCAAAATTGAGTGTGAAACTCGCTCAATGTGACTAATTTGCAAATTACTAGTATAAGGAAGAAATGATACGTTGGATCTGAAGTAGATGAGATATTAGGTGGATCTTCTATTGTCACGACGATGTTATGACAGGGGGAGAAAAACAACTTCAAAACAGAGATAATCAGTAACCACTGCTGTAAGCTAACATTCACAAAATAACCAGTTAACATCTAGTATTATGCTAACATCAACAGAAACACTGCTGACTAACCAGTTAAACCAAGATAACTCTCACCAAAAATCAATAGTTTTGTGCATAATTGTCATCCATAAACTAAGTTCCTTAAGTTTTTCACAAAAATAATTAGCCAACTTATGTTAAATTTCAGCATTTGGTACAGGGACTCCTTCCCCATTTGACTCTATCTTCTTTTTCTTTTTTCTTACTTCAGCTTGGAGTTGGCTAAGTGTAACTATAGCTTTCCCCTTCCAAGTTGCCTTAGTTGGTGAGTAAGGCAAGTTTGTTGGCATAAACACTCCATCTGCACCCCCAGTAAATTGAATCCTTCTAGTCTCAGTTGGTAGTCTTGCTTTCAGCCTTCTTTCCTTAAGTATTGATTGTGACTCAGAGATGATTTTTGGTCTCAACGGTGGATCTTCCTCATCGCCAATATCTGGACCATAGGCTTGTGCTTGTTGTGTTGTGACTTGAGAAGAGTAATCAGATTGTTGTGTTTGTGCTTTAGTTTCAGATTCATAGTCTGACCAATCATCTTCAGTACTAAGAGTCGATATTGTACTATCTTTTTGCTTATTTTTACTTGATATTGTACCCTCTCTACCATCTTTACTCTGCCATCCAAAGAATGAATTAATAAAAAAAAATTACCTTGAAACAAGTCCTAGAATTACTATGGGGCTGACTAACAGAATATTCTGCCTCTGGAGAGTCTTTAACAGAATATTCTGCCTCTGGACCATGACAACAGAATATTAGGTGACTGTCAAGAAAATTTTGCACTCGCCCTTCCTCTTGCTTGCTTCATCAGGTTCTCTATTTCTCTTTACCTTCGGTCTGTCCACAGTCTTGGCAATTTCAGGTGGATCCATTGCTTGGCTCAGATCAATTTTCCAGAATTTTATACCCTTAACTAGTTGAAACTTGTTCTTGTAAGTCAAGGAATATGCTTCTTTGCTATAGTACCAATGTATTTGTTCCTTAGGATCACCCTTTCAAAAGCAAGAAATAACACTAATTAGATAACTTGAAAAATATGAGCTTAAGTGAGAAAACTAACTTAAAATATTTCATACCCTATTATATATTATATCTTTGATAGCATGGGGGCAAGGGATCCTAGAAAGTTGCCTTAATCTACAAGTGCATTTTTTATGTTCAAGATCCACAGTGTGTCTATCATCACCTTCTGTGATTTCATATCCAAAGTCACCATTAAACTCAACTTTGCAATAATGGGCAAGTGCCCTATAGTCATTGTAAAGCATCAAAGCACTTGGATTGTAGTCACCATTCTATTTTCTAACAAAATAGATACAAGGAGTCAAAATACAAAGAGTGTAAAATAGAAACAGAGCTCCCTTCCACCTCCCCATCCCAAATCTCCCTTCCAACTCNTCATCGTCCCAACATCCCCAACTTCAGAAGCTTTCCCCCCCAAACCCTAGTAGCCACCCTAGAATTCTCCACCGTCCGATGGCGGCGGCGGCGTCCAATAGCCACCGAATTAACACCATGAACTCCCTTCCACCTCCCCATCCCAAATCTCCAAATAGTTCCTCTCAAATCTCCCTCCATCGCCTTAAATCTCAGATCTGAGGTTAGCGCTTGAAACCCTAAAATTCCCAGATCCACCCAAAATCACACCATGCAACCCCTCATCTCATTCCTGCCTCAAATACGTGTTTGTTTCATTTCAAAATGGTCCGTCAGTGGTAGAGCAGAGGTCCGGATAGCCAAGTCTCTCCCTGGGTTCCTTTATGGCTTAGCAAGGTCAAGTGAACCCAAAACCATCATTAATTGTTTGTCTTTTCTTAAGGACAACCGATTAATGACCGTCAAAGGTTCACTTTCTTCTTCAAAGTTGTTCGAGTTCATGCAGTTCTTGCCGAAGCAGGTTTGGGATAATTTCCTTTGCATCGATTGGTTTCCTTTTGATCCCTTCTGTTTGTTTGCTTGGTTGTTTGTTTTTCCAGTTTTCGTCCTTCAGAATTTTTGTTCTTGCTTAATTGTGTTATGTTCTGGTTGTAAGTTTGTTAATCAGCTTGTTTGCTTAATTGTCAATGACAATCGGCTTCGTAAGGTTTGAGTTTAATTTGGTTTCAATTCATGAGATTTTCTTCTTTCCGCTAGGTTTCATTTCACATTTGTGAATTGATTTTGGAACTGAAGCATTGAGATTAGTCAAGTATAGTTCATTGTTCGCATTAATTCTTGTTTCAAGAACATTTTCTGAATTCACGTTTATGTGTGAAGGATATTCAAGCTAGTTTTCTCATAATTTCAATAGTTGTTTTGAATTTCAATTTGTTTGAAAGTGTCAGCCTATTTGTTTATTGTGATTGTGAGCATTCAGAATTTGAGGGGGGCAAGTGAATAATGGGGAACTTTAGGGGTAATTTTGGAGATTATTTCAACTTGAAGAATCTTTAATAACTGATGGGAAGCTTCCTAAATGGACAGCTGCCCAAAATGGTTAGGGACAACAGGCTGTAAATTGAAAATATCTGAAGGAAATGGATAGTTGTCCAATAGTCAGTTTTAAAAGATGCCCTATGAGGGTATTTTGGGAAAAATCTGATAGCCTTGCCTTGGAAGGCACACAGCAGACCCTCAGCCTTTAAAAGAAAGCCTTCTTCTCATTCAAAATAGTTTTTCTTTTTACACCTTAGAGAGACCAAAAAGGCTGAAGGTACAGGAGAAATCAGAACAACTGGAAAAAAAACAAAAATCACTGTTCCATTGAAAGTTTTTTTTCTGTAATTCTTGAGGCTCTCACTTCTGAAATGGTCTCTGAACAATTGGCTTGAGACTTAGTCATTAAGGCTAGGTTTTGGGTGTTTGCTTCTTTGAAAGTATGTTTGACACTGCAATCTGGTCTGCTGAATTGCATTTTCTGGGGTTTTGAACTTTTGGTACACTGTTCCATTGGATTCGAGTCCCACTTTGCTGCTTGTTACTGCTGCTGGGTTTCTGATTATCTCACTGTTGTTTTCTTCACATTTTCAGGTATGTAAGGACATTTGAACCTTGTGTAAATCTAGACCAGAAGCCTATGAAATCAAGCTGAAATGGCTGTTTTGTTCTTTCGAGCAGAGTCTATTGGTCTTCTTGTGATTTCTGCATATTTCTCTCGTTAATCATTATGAGTAGTTAGTCATATAGTTTGTAGTCTATTTCCTTTTCAGACTTGGGATTTGCACCAATGTGTTATAAATAATGTTGGACTATTGGACTATTACAGTGTTGTAAGTCAGTGCTAAGCTTAGCCACACTTATGTCTTATTCATGAATGTCACTCATGTATTTGGGAAACTATTAGAATGTGTAGAGTAGTTTGACCTTCCCTTTATCATGTTCACCTTTAATTGTTTATCTGAAAATCTGCCCTGTTTCGCACTGTCCAAGCAGTGCATCTACTCATTCTTCTGAGTGCAAATTCTGATTGTTGGCTCTCATTGGTTTGATTTGCTGGTTAGTCTCATTGGGTCTGATTTCTTGCGCTCGTTTAACCTTTCCAAAATATGAAAGTGTGGTTCAGTCCATGCTCCTCATGATATAGGTTTGGTTACTGAGAAGAATTTTCCCAGGACCTATCTTCATTTTCAAAGACTATGCATTTGTTTTAATGTGTTCATGTAAGGTTTAGCTTAGCCATCTTAATGGGTGAATGGTTAGATAAGGTCCACCTTAAAGTTGCAGTTTTGTTTTGTTGTCTTTGTCCGTTCTTATATCGAGATTTTTTATTCCGCTAAAGTTTGTTGGATTCAGATTGTAGCTTAACGTTTAGTCTTCATGATTTAATCCTTAGTTCTAATACATATCATGTGGTATGATTCTTTGCGAGGGCGTTTCAAATGAATTATTGGAGAAATAGCTTTGGGCTTTAAGAAATCAGGTTTTGGACAATGGATGGTGCTGATTCTTGGGGATTATGTCCAGCCCGCTTGGATCTTTGAACTGGTCATGTGGACAAATTTAAGAGAGTAATTTCAAGCAAAAGAATATGGGCCCAGCAAATGAGCTGCCAGGACCTTTCTCCACGTTAATATTTCTGGGCTGCGTATCCATGTGCCTTGAGTTAGCCCGTTTGCTTTTCAGTGTAGTTAGCCCGTAACTCGTGGCCTTAGCAATCCCGACTCGATTTTAGGAATAATTGTTGAATGTTCGTAGATAAGCCTCTAAGGCCGTTTACACTATTATCGTGGTTGTGGACACGTTCGTGTGACATGACTACGA